ACTCAGGAATATTGTAGCTATCTATCAGTGAAAGAATTTTGGCAATCCGACCAGCGGTTCCAAAGATTACCCCCTGCATACAAACTTACAATCATACAAACTTACAAATTTTATCTCTTTATAATATTATTATAGTATATTATATATAGATCTGTTTAAATATTAGGTTTTTTAAAGTTATATGTCGGCAAACGAGCAGACGGATTACCTGATGGTAAGCAATCAGAGCCACCCATGGATACTCGTAATACCAAAGGAGTTACTACAAGTGCGTTGCCGTCCTCTTGTGGGCTATTAGAGATTTAAGGACAGGGGATTTGAGGATTGAGGATGGAAGGAGGAGGCAATTGGGGCTCCGATAACCTCAAATACACGGCAAAACATAAGGCTTGCATCACACCGATTTAGGTAGTTTTGTTTTTGTTTAAGTAATATTACCGATTTAAAGTCTTCTGCGAATTAGCCGTGTGTTATGTGGTGACAAGGATACTATTTCGGTCGTCAAAAGATCTTTCTAAGGGATAACATATTTGGCAGAGACCAGGCATCAACACTTTCTGATTAACTAGAACCTTTTGCAATTCGATCTCAATTCCTCTGCCTATGAAATCATGGCAAATGTTAATAGGCATTATTTTGTGAGTGGAAAATCATCATTTATGTCTTCTCACGCCCAGGGTAGGGCGGGAGGAATTGTCAGACTTTTACTGACTAAAAACCCCCCGTTCCTTCTTCTGCTCTGGGCCGAGGCCACGGTGTTTCATTGCGAAACGTTCATAGGCATTAGAGTAGTATGTGTGTAGAGAGGAAATATAAAACCTCATTGGTATTAGAATTTTGGAACAAAATCCTAGTTTTACTGACAGATATACTGATAGATAAGTTAACTCTGACGTTTTAATAGTTCCTTGAAATAAAAGCTTTGATTTTGAATTTAGAAGTTTACAGTTTAGAACTGGACTTTTACAGGGCGTTTATGACTGTCCAAAAAAAAACCAATAAGCATTTTGGTAGAAGATTGTGAGAAAATCCTTTTTTAAAGCAAGTCAAAAACGAAAAACAGATTCTCTATAAAAAAAATGGGCACTTTTTTCTCTAACATGTTGCCCGACACTTACATTTTTCTTGTTACATGGATGCTTTTACAAATATGACTGTACTGACTGCTTAGACTAGAAACAACAATTTGTAGATCATACAAAGAGTTATTGTAATTATGAAGTTCTTTATTGTACTAATCCCTCTATTACGAGTCTTTTTGACTGTCTGAAAGAATACTAGCAGAAGTTAATCGTAAACTTTATTAAATATAATGCTATAAGTACTGCAATAAAGTCTAGATTCCTATCTTCCAGATAGTGCTAGTACACTACCAATAAAAACTTCTTTAGTTCATTATAGACTTTATTAGGTATAATACTATTAGTACTACAATAAGGTCTGTAGGTTTCTAGGTTCAAGATAGAAGCTACCAATAAAAACTTCTTTCTTTACTTTACTTTAAAAAGTGTGCTCTCCAAACTTTATGATACCAAGTGACATTTTATGGAGATAGATAAAGCATGGCCTGAAAGAACGAAGTTCCTTTTCTACGCACGCTTATAAAACTTCAAATGGGCGCCCTCTATCTAAAATATACTCCGTTGGCACGTGTCACGTGGTTAACTATACTCGGAATTTTAATTCCATTCCAGATTTGACAATTTCAGTGTTGCAACGTTATGACAAGTACTAAATAGTGACGTTGCAAAATTATTCGATATGGAAATCGAATATTTTCGGATCGATTCCTCACGTTTATAATTTTACTCTCGTAAACAAAGTATATCAGGAAATTAAATATTTCTGAACCGATAATTTAGTTTTGACGATTAATTAACGATCTGAGACTTTTCTTTTATAATTGTGAGAGTGTTTGTTGAGAGGTAATTAATCGTCTAGTATCGATTTTGTCACTAGTCAAGAAATAAGTATTACTACTAATAAGTATTCAAGTACGTACTAGTTAGACAAAAAGCACACAATTTCATAGCCAAAATTAAATATAATCTTTATAATTTTCAAACAACAAGAAATTTCTTAAACAAACTTAAAAAATAATGCTTCAATTCGATACTTAATAATGAGACCAATAACCTTGTAAACGATATAGCCAATAAAGTCAGTTTTAAAAGTAATTTAATTAAGGCATTACAGACGAGACGGGTAACGTCCTTTTTTATTATGAAAATCATTCGCTTCTTGGGGAGAAAGGCTAGGGTGTATATGATTTTGATCCCATTAGAGTTATTGTTGGTTATTGAGAGTTATATTCATCACCTAGATTGGCCCGTGGTCCTCTTAAACACCGATATCGGAGTAACCAAAGTAAGGATTAGGAGAAAACGAGGTTGGTGTTCTCAGTAAGAGTCTCAAAGTCATTCTCTCTCTTGCCCTGGGTGGGGACAGGTCATCATTTATTCCAATTAGACCCTTACAGGCACCTTTGAACGTCAAACAAAATGTTGAAGATATTGTGTCAGTATGTCGGTCAGTCCTCTTAGTGAAGCTATTTGCTCGTTCCAAAGTGTAGATTTCGATGGAGAAACTCCATGGTTACTCTTTTTAAATCAGTTTCACTGTCACATGCAGATTCTTTTTACAAATAGTTGGTTCAATTATGTGATAACACGTCCTAACTATCTATTGATAGGTCCTACAATTCTTTGCAAACGAAGAATGAAACATGGCATGTTCATTTGACAAAATTTTCATGAATAAAACTTTGCCAATCCAATTTTTAGCCAAACACTATGGCTTAAGGAAAGGAGATTAATACCCTTCACGTATAGTTTAAAACTACACTTACAGTTTCAACAAAACAAAAACAGTTTACTTTTTTAAACAAAAACATTAAAATAAAATTACAATTTATATTCAAAATGATTTTACAAATAGTTACAATCATTGAATGTCCACAACAAAGCTTATTTGTTCAATCTGAAAATCACACATCATTTGTAACACGATCCGTTTCATTGCTGAAACACCTGAATTCAGTGAGAGGTACTGAAATATATGTACAAACGAAACACAAAACTATACGTACGATTTAATTATAAGCTTTTTGAAAATAGAAACATTATTCTTTGTTTTTTTTTCAACCAGTATTGCGTGTACGTGTACAAACCTTTTTATAGGTATATTGTTTGTAAAAGGTCGTAGGGAAACCCATGAAGGGATTTCGGTAGTTACTCGAGCGCGTCAGATTAACATAATGGGAATATTTAGTATCCTGTTGAATGTAACCACCATAATTATACCTAATGGAAATAGAGGGGGGAAGATACATGGAGTATACACAGTATTAATATCTATCACGTTCGTGCACTAAAAACAAAAGTTATACTTAACAATTTTTGAAAACTATCGGTCACTCCTTCCCTCAACGGAGGAAAGAAGACATTTCGTCCTTCAGACATTTGATAAAACCTTATAAATGTCTAAGAAGACATATTTCTATTCATTTAGTATTGACAAAGGGATATTGTATGAATTAAAAGCTCAGAAGTAAAAGGCAGTGACTTATAATACACGAAACAAGGTAACTAGGCCAAGGACGTCCCACATATGACGGGAACATCGAATATGAGCAAATAGGTATTGAACGCAACAAGTGTATTGAATATTGAACATCTTTCAAACGGAGGAAATGTATCGAGCCTCCGTCCTTGCACCTGAGAAGGTCACAATCTCAATAAATGTCACGCCGTATATTTTACAGGCAGGTACACATCATGGCCGCTCTTAATGCAAAAGTATAGAGGTATAGTATTTATTTATGTGATGTGATTATTTTTTCCAGAAAGTTTTCAAATTCTTAGGTATTACGAGGGTCAAACTGAAAGTTTTTAGAACTGGCCACTTAAAAACCATATAATAAAAAAAAATCTAAAATTTTAAAAATAGAATTCTTTGCCATTATTACTGAGTATATATTTCATTCATTTGTCATTTGTTTTACGATTTGGCGGCAAATTGAAACCACGAAAACGCCTCGTCGCACACCGCCAAGCGAACAATCGACTATTTGGCGAGACCCCTGAAGACGAGTGGGCAAAGTGCTTTTCCCAGTGGTTCCATCGCATGCAGTATTGACGTGAAAGGACAATATTTTGAAAAGATATAATAAAACTAATAACTGGCTAATATAATCAGTTTTTGATTATCTAAAAACTTTTAGTTTGATCCTCGTATAATGGTATAAGTGACGGCGCGTCGATTATTTAAATTAAATTTTGAAGGAGGTTTTATCAGTTAACACAATTTATCGGACGAGAAACAGACAGTTCTGCGTGCGCATTACCTATGGTGGAGAGCGAGCGCTGTGACTGTCATATGAGACGGATCGCCAACGTCCGTTATTTTTGTAATTTATTCGGTCTGATTACAAAATCCTATGCCCTGCGATGCACTGTGAAGACGATGATTGGGATGTTGATGTTTGTACCAATCCCCCGGTGCCTTCATATGTATATGATGTTTATGGCTATTTTGTTTTCTATGTAATTCGAAGTAAGATTTTAGAAGTAAAAAGTTAGGATTGGCTAAGAATAATAATTCTTTCGATTAAGTGCGGATACGTAATAAAGATTTCCATATAAACTTACGTCTAAATCATGAAATTAATTGAACGGATTTTAATAAACCTTGCTTATTCATTGGTAATTTTAGTTTCCGTAAAAACTTAAAACATTGGTATATATAATTATTATAAACTTTCACTTATAATTATTCGATTTAAAATATATTGAAAACATGCTTATTTAAGGTTTTAGAGCTTGATTGTTGGCATATAAGTAACAGGGTTCATTAATATCGGTTCAATAGTTTTCATGATCTTGACTATGATAGAAGCCAGTGCCACGCCCCGAAACGCTCGCGCTGTAAGGTAAGTCAACAATTTTAAATATAGGTAAGTACGGTGCGTATTAGGTATGTATGTAAATAAAATCACGTACCTTTTCTTGACGACAGCGATTAGTATAATATGCTGTGTGTTCTTGGTTCCACGTACAGCTCTGAAACAAAGCAGAAATAGATCATTAGTAAGAATAAATTATTAAGCTGTAAAATTTGTTTGCTTAATTAACTAAAAATCGCGGGTTACTCACGTGTAAATATTGAGAAAAGCTCTACTAGTTTCGAACCACAGAGGGGTTCTTCCTCATGAGCAGCGTGCGCGGACGCGGCGACGTCGCGCAGCCTACTGTCAGTAGGTTGCGCGGTTGCGCGGTTGTGCGGTTGTTAGTAGAGCTTTTCTTAATATTTACACGTGAGTAACCCGCGATTTTTAGTTAATTTAGTATGTCTCACGATAGTTATTATAAAAACAAATTTGTTTGCTTATTTGTATTGAACGCGCTAATCTCCGAAAATACTGGTTCGAATTTAATAATTATTTTGGTGTTTGTTATTGAGGAAGGCTACATGCCGCTACGGTCTGTAGGAGCCGAGCAGCAGGTTCATAGATGTGTGCAGGTTCTTTCCGACCAAACTGATGATCTGGGAGTTACTGATATCTTCCGAGATGATGATGATGATGATAAAGAAGATAAATAAAACTGCAAGTCTTTGTCAAGTCGTAAGAGTAGACTTGACGTTCTAAAAGTATGTCACGAAGTTCGAAAAGTTTATCTCAAACGATATCAATCACTACATGGTATAAAACAAAGTAGCTTGCTCTGTACCTATAAGCCTATATCTGCTTAAATCTTTAAAATTACGCAACGGATTTTGATGCGGTTTTTCACAGATAAAGTAATTGAAGAGGATGGTTCGTATGTATAATAAAATCAATTACATAGTGAAGAATTTTTAGTATCAGTATTGCACCCGTGCTATGTCACGGCGGGTTAATTTTATTTTGACTTCAAAATAAGACATTTTTATAAAATACAATTAGCAAATAATAAAGGATAACGAAAAAGCCATTACATCCAACCTTTGTGCGTGACATTTTTTATCGTCTCCCCAAAGAAAAAAGCCTTCACGAATTCTTTAACGGGAATAATAAAATCATATACATACATACATACATACATATATGCATACACACACGTCTGAATTCCATACATTTTATTTGCAAAATTCTTTCACGACTTGGAAATTCGGTGCTCGCGAACTCGAATACCGGGTACAACCGGGTAACCGGGTTCAGTCACGTGGAAATATAACCGGGTTGACGGACGCATTTATAGAGTGAAGTATCTACTTCTTTAGATCTGGTGTTGTGAACATGGTTTTTTATTAAGTACTTCATTGTACTTCTCAATATGAAATGGGTATTTTTAAACGAATGGTTTATGGGCATAGACCTGTGTTCGGTTTGGCTGTTGATGGTAATGATGAAGGCAGAATTTGTGCGATATATCAAGTCCTAGGTACTAGCCATCATGCTACTGAAAATTTTATCCAGCTATTCCTAAGATTTCAGTATTGGCAGTTGAACCTTAAATGGAGAGAGCGAGACGGGAAGATTAAATTAATTAATAATTATTAAGTTATTGATTAAATTTTTCATATCTATAGTATATTTATATTTATAATATATATTTTTTGTCTCTCTAAATGTACAAAAGTAACACCTTTTACAATTTATGTCTGTCTATTTGTTCCGTCAAATCTTTGGAATAGCTGGACCGATTTTGACTGGATTTTTATTGATATGCATTTAGTGAAAATCGGTTGCTTCAGTATTTATCCTCTAACACGACGCCTATGTTTACCCACGACATTTGAACAAAGTAATTAATTTCTAATAATAATTATTATTACTGCTCGTAATCCTCAAAATGAGGTCGTCGTTTCAGGTTTATTTCGGAAGTTTAATTAAATATGGGTCTACTTCTGATTATGTGCGGGATGATACTAAATCCTATATGTGTGTGGCAGGTGATAAATATTACCGTGATGTGGTTTTAATTAAGTTGAAACCTAACAACAATTAGTATTATAAACATCAAGTTAATTATTTAATCGTTATTAATATAGAGAAATGGTGTTTTGTGTCAACGAATTGTATGTTAATTGTGGATTAGGATTTTCTGTCTAAATATGAGTTGCGGGTTCTTTGTCGTATTACATATTTAGATAATACTAAAAAACAGTGAAGGAAAACGTCGTAATAAAACTGCAAACTTTGAATTTATAATTGTATGTTTAAAATCGTCAAACTTCAATAAGCAAGCGTGGTTATATTTTTAAACCTTCTCCGTGTGAGAAGGTCTTTGCTCAGTAGTGAGCAGTTATAGAATGATGATGAAAAATGAAGTAAAATTGAATCTTAATATACCTAGTGTCTTAATATAAAATTTGCAGCTGAAAATTTGCAATTTCATATAAAACGAGTATTTGTGTTATTATATTACGTCTAAATTAATTAAAAATCGCGGGTTACTAACGTGTATAAATTGAGAAAAGCTCTACTAGTTTCGAACCACAGAGGTGTAGCTGGCTAGCTGCGCGACATCGCCGCGTCCGCGCACGCTGCTCATGAGGAAGAACCCCTCTGTGGTTCGAAACTAGTAGAGCTTTTCTCAATTACACACGTGAGTAACCCGCGTTTGTTATTTAATTTAGTATGCCTCACGATAGTTATTATAAAAGTATATTAAGTACTAGTGTCCCATCCCATCTTCGCACAAGTGCAATCCTGATACTAATTTCTTCATTCTCAATGGATGTTATCATACATATAAACCTTTCTCTTCAATAACTCTAAGTGTGAAAAAAAAATCGCATCGAAATCCGTTGCCTAGTTTTAAAGATTTGAGCATACATATAATAGGGTTCTAGGGACAGAGAAACCGACCTTGTTTTACACAAGCAGTGATGACGTTTATTTGTGTGACGTCACAACGAAAGGCAAATACAATAACTATGTTGTGCGCATGTGTGCGTAAGCATGTGTTCCGTTATTGCCGCATGGAATTTCGTAATTACCTTCCTTGAGGTCTAAATATTGTTCTCCGAAGGATCTAACGCTTTTCCTTATTAATAAAGTTGTTCTTGGAATAACAAAGAATTTGGGTCTAGTTTTACAAATTGCTTTCATATTTTATTTAAGTATAATGAAATGTTTATTTTTAAAATGTTAATAGCTACAATTGAAAGATGTGGTCATTAGAAGGCAAAAAGGCTTTTGTACCTATGTATGTTGTTTCACCGGTAGATCTAAAATTTGTTGAAAGAATCTTTAGCACTTGTGACTGTTATTCTTAGCAGTATCTTGTAGCTGTTATAAAAAACAAATAGAATCAAGCTTTGTTCAATTTTGTATATATTCTGAAATTTACATTTTTTCTAATACTTTTTTAAACGTGACAAAAATTAAGAAATCTGGCAGTGCACCAATCCAGCACAATGGATATCAAATCATGATAATACAATTGAAAATAGTTCAGATAATTCATTTTGGCCCAAGTACCCAAATAACACCTTTATCAGTAAAGAGGTCATCTATATGTACTACGAGTAATATTATAAAGAGGTAAAATTTGTAAGTTGGTATGTAGAGAGTAAGTAATCCATGGAACCGCTGGTCGTATTGCCAAAATTCTTTCACTGATAGATAGCTACAATGTTCCTGAGTGCTATAGGTTATAAAACATCAGGCTACGATCAAATGGAGCTGAGCAGCGGGTTTAACCACGGGAGAGTAGCTAGTAATCTAATATAAAATAACAGGCAACTGGCTGTCAGTTTGTTTCCACTCGCAAGTTAGAAACTGTTGATACTGAAATATTGTAGAGGTGCTGAAAAGTTCAGTAGTGCCTTCACAGTAAACAACGTTCCGCTGTAACTTAGTATTGAGTTAAATATTTTATCTAAAAGCGGTTTCATATGGAAGAAGCACCATTATGGAACTGACTGACTAATGGTTATTTATTGTCTGGCGTAGAGGACTTTTCTTTTCTTCACCACACGGCAAGAAATTTCGTTTTTACCCATGTATCGGCAATTCTTGCACAAAATTTATAATCAGTCAAGTAAATGTAATTGTAAAAACCATCATGGATGTGGCTCATGTTTAGCCAGGGTTGCTTGCATCTAGTAATCTACCGCCGTCCCGGCCAGGAGAAGGAGAAATTGCGGGGTGGTGTTCAGTCAGTAAGAGTCTAAAACTCCCTCTTGCTCCACGAAAAAAGCTAAGTTTGTTAAGAAAATAAATAATGATTTCGTACAGAAAAGGTAGGTAGTAGATGTTTTATCATCTTTATTAATAGGCACTACATATATTCATCATATTTGTTATAACAATAATTGCTACCTCTATGTACCTACACAAGAATAACGAAAATTTAGTTTAGTTATCCACATTCTTCCCACTAATAAGGAAGTTTCCAAGTTCCTGTGAATACAGAAGCTCTTACGCCCCAGAATGACTTGGAAAATGTAATTATCTGCGTTGAAAATTGGAGCCTATGGGCCTATTACGAAAGTCCAATAGGTATAAATCAATCTTAGAGGTTGGCTGTGGGCAAACAAGGCTACACTGTTTCATTAGTTACCTGTCAAGGGGTTAGTGTGACGTCACTTAGGTACAGTCAGCGACATTACGAGGTTATCGTTTAGTTGTTGAAAAGCGATGTTGCTTATTGAGAATGGTATTTATTTATTTGAGACTTCATGCACAAAATATTGTACATAGGCGGACATTGGTATTGCGTTTGAGATGGACAATTTTGTTAGCAGCCTTTTGATTAATCGTGTTGTATGTATCGAGTGATATTGGAGGTTGGTCTTGTGATATTGTCTTTCTAATATTATAAACGCGAAAATTTGTAGTAAAAACTACTTATCGGTTCTGAATGAAATTCGGCATACAGCTAATACGGTTGTTTCCAACTAGTCAAATTCAATACTTTTATCCAAATGTCAAAAACGATACTTTTCTATGAAACATTGAATTATGACGTCATAGCATTTTTGCGTCGAATAGCTTACTTATTTTTAAAAAAATAGCTAAAAAATATCTAAAGCTTAGTGTATCGATCGATCGATGAATAAAAGTATAGTT